AAAAAAAAAAAAAAATCAGTGTCTTACAGACAGATTCCCTTGATCATGTATTCTGTTTCTGTAACAGACATTGACACATTGCTAGGTGGATAAGAGAAGAGCAAACTGTCTTGAGCTTTAGCCCCTACCATTTTCCCATATTAGGTACAACTTAATCAGCTCTAGCTATAGTCCTTGGATTCTCTTAATTATTTGCTAGTTGGGAAATGAACTTTGAGGGATGGGTTCCTAACTTTTAAAGCATGTCCTAAATTTTGTGTATCTTGAGGTGTCATCCCTTGTGTAGAATCAGCTAGGGAGCAGAGACCCCCACCCCACCCCAAGCCATCCCCTAGAAGTAGGGCTCAAGAATCTACATTTTAATGGACGTAGAAGAACCGTTGATCTATCTCCTAGAGGGAGCACTGCAATTGTTAGAAAACTGTCTTTTCGTGGGCCTAGGATTCCTTTCCTGTAACTTTTCCCTATTGGTCCCCAGTATGATGTTTATCCCTCTTCTACTGGCAGCATTCCTGAGCTTGGTAGACTTCCATCCATATAGTATTTTTGCTGTTTCCCTTGGGAAAGAGGCCTTTAAACTCTCAGGTCAGACCATTTTGCAGATAGGAGAATCAAGGTATACAGATGGGGTCAGAAGGCAGGTAAGGGATAGGCTGGGGATGGGAAGGAACAAAAGTCTGTGTTTCCAAACCACTGGTCAGCCAACTGCCCTCAGCTCTAGTCTCCCTTTGGAGACCTTCCTCTCTCGACCTCAGCCATGCTCCCAAGGGTGACAAGACTGTTTCCTTTTTTCTCTTCCACCTTTATTATTGGAAGGTGTAGTAGTTTCCTACGGCTGCCATAACAAAGTGCCAACTACTAGGTGGCTTAAGACAACAAATTTATTCTCTCAAGTTCTGGAGCCCAGAGGTCTGAAATCTAGGTGTTGGCAGGGCCGCGCTCTCTTTAAAGGCTTTTCTTGCCTTTTCCACCTTCTGGTTTTTGCTGGAAATCCTTGGCTTTCCTTGGCTTGTAGATGCATCACCCCAGTCTCTGCCTCCGTTACCACATAGCATTCTCCCCGTGTACCTCCGTCTTCACATGGTGCCCTTTTTGTGTCTGTGTCCAAGTCTCCCTCTTCATATGAGGACACCAGTGTTTGAATTTAGGTCCCACCAATATGACAGCATCTTAGCTTGATTATATCTACAAAGACCCTATTTCCAAATAAGGTCCTATTTTGAGGTTCTGGGTAGGCATAAACATAAGGGGCAGGGGAATACTATTTGACCCAGCAGAGGGGCTATGATAGAAAATTCAAACAGTACACAAGAGTTTTCAATAAAAAGCAAGCTTCCCTCCTGCCCATAATACCCGGGCCTCAATTCTCTGCCTCAGGGGCATCTTCTGTCACAATCTCTTGGGTCTCCACTGAGAGATGGTATAAAGACCAGCATCTCTGGATATGTCTCCCCACCCCTAAACACATGTGCTAGCATACTGTGCATGCTGTTCTGTTCCTTGGTTTCTTTCTTTTTTTTTTTTTAATTCACTAAGAATGTTCCATCTCAGCCCATCAGGCCTACTCTCCCTTTTTGTCCATCCTGTCCCTCACAGGCCTGGTGCGCTGTTGCACCTTGGGTACAAGGACACACCTGATCCTCTTGTGCTATTTAAGGAAGATTGGGTGGAAACATTATTCCCATTTTCAAGATGAGGATGTCAAGGGCTGGGGGGGGGGGTCAAAGGCCACCTGGCAGACCTGGAGTTCAAACCTCCAGGGCTTGTGTCTGGGGAAATCCCCTGTCTAGCACTGTCCCTTACTAGGGCAAAGGGAACTCAGCTGGAGACTGCCCCATCTCATACACACTTAGCCAACCTTAGGGTAAGCAGGGCAGGGTCCCAGCAGCCCCCTGACCTGTACCTCCTATTTTCCTCACCCCCCAACAGTACACCTGTGGCGATTCTCAGGTGGCTACCCAGCCCTCATGGACTGCATGAACAAACTCAAAAACAACAAGGTATGTCGGCATCTGTTCCACAAACCTCTCTGGAATATTGGCTCTGGATCAGCCCTGTGCTGGGGGCTGCTACCACTACCCCATGAGATACACCACCAGGGTGGGGGGCTCTTCGTGGCTGCCATGCCCAGACTGCCACACCCACAGGAGTACCTGGAGTTCCGAAAGGAGCGGAGCCAGATGCTGCTGTCCAGGAGAAACCAGATGCTCCTTGAATTCAGCTTCTGGAATGAGCCACAGCCCAGAGCAGGCCCCAACATCTATGAGCTGAGGACATACAAACTCAAGGTGCCTCCTCCCAACCAGATCCCTGCCTGCCTCCCACCTTCCCTGCTGTGGTGGTGCTTTACAGATACACCAACGTGGGTGGGTCCTGTGCCCCAGCACCCAGACTGGGGCTTCTGGCCTCTCCCTCCCTGTGGGTTCAGAATAGAGGTATGTACACACGTGTGCACACATGCACACCCAGGTGCAAGTCAGGACCCTTGAATGAGGCCAAGTGGCCCCTGGGGTTGGGGAGACATAACAGTTTCCCCCCTCTACCCAGCCGTGACATTTGGAATCTGAGATGGGGCTCATTTCCACTCTTTCCCCTGGTTCTCTTTCAGCCAGGAACCATGATTGAGTGGGGGAACAACTGGTGAGTGGCAGTGCCTGGGGTTGGGGGGACCTTGCCCACCTATCCTGCTTAGTTCCCTGGCATCCCACCTTTCCCAGGGCCATATGTCAGGGAACCCGGCATCCTCTGCTCCTTGTGGATCCAGGAGAAGGATCCAACCAGGATGTGAACCCTCTTCTAGCAGAATACCCAGCCCACGGCTGTACCTCTGTCACCCCCTTCCCTGATCATCTCTGAGAACTGGGGGGTCCTACCTCAGGCTCCTCCCTTGAGGTGTGGCTAAGAAATCAGCCTGGTGACACCTCATAGGGCCCTTTGCACTCACCCTGGCCCCTGCTCCACACTCTTCTGCTGTCCCTAGGGCGCGGGCCATCAAGTACCGGCAAGAGAACCAGGAGGCAGTGGGCGGCTTCTTCTCGCAGATAGGCGAGCTCTACGTTGTGCACCATCTCTGGGGTAGGCTGGGAACCCTCCAGGGGCCCTCTGCTTGTCCGGTTTCTCTATTGTCACTCTATATAGACAACGCAAATATATTAGTGCCCTTTTGAGCTTATGGTCCAGCAGAGGGGGACACCACCTCAGACATAAACTAACACAAAAACATCATTTTGGGTTATTACAAATAATGAAGACGCAGGGAAAAATGATGAAACAAACGGGAATGACTTGGATAGACAAAGAAGGCCTCTCTGAGGAGGTAAAATGTTAGCTCTGCTAAAGGATGAGAAGGAGCCAGCTTGTGAATTGCCAGGGAAAGGCATTCTAAGTAGAGGGAACAACATGTGCAAAGGCCCTGTGGTGGAGAAAACGCCTTCAGGGTTTTGAAGAGTGCAGAGGAGGCCAGTGTGGAGATAGGGATGGGTGTGAGGAGATAGGGACAGACTAGATCAGGCTGGGCCTTGCAGGTTGTGGAGACAAGTGGGATTTATTCTAAATGCAGTGGGAGGCTGCTGCAGGATTTTAAGTACATGACCTGATTTGTATTCCACTATGATTGCTCTGGTTGCCATGTGCTTTGCTGGAGAGAGTTTGTAGGGGAACAAGAGAGGCAGTGGGGCATCAGGAGATGGTTATACTAGTTCAGGCGGATGGGTTCAGGAGGATGGTGGCCTGGCCTAATGTGGTGGCAGTGAGGATGCTGAAAAGGCCACAGATTCATTAGTCTGGAGGTGAGGCAGTGGGCTTTGTGGATGAATTGTCTGTGTGGGGCGAGGCAGGGAGAGAACTCCAGATTCCTGCTTCAGCAGCTACCTGTGTGTCTCTTACTGAGACCCTAGGAAGGGCAGGTTGAGGGAGTCAAAAGTGTAATCTTGGCCCTTGGAAATGTTGCCTTTAAGGTGCTGTCACATCCAAATGGAGACACAAGTGGGCACCAGATATATGGCTCTGGAGCCCGAGGGAGAGTTCTGGGCTGGAAATAGAAAGGTGGATGTTGTCAACAAATGTACAATTGGATGAGATCGTCAGAGCAGACAGTGTGTGGTAACAGTCTGAGGCACTGGGGAGAGACAGCAGGACAGGGTTTGGGGCAATGGGAAGAGGGCTCTGTGCTAGGTATAGAACCAGATCCTCTATGCCCACGGAATGAGCCAATGCCTTTCCTACAGCCTATAAAGACCTACAGTCTCGGGAGGAGACTCGAAATGCTGCCTGGAGGAAGAGGGGCTGGGACCAAAATGTCTACTACACAGGTGAGTGCTTCTGCTGGGGCATCAGCCTAGCCCTTGGAGGTCATTTGCCAAGAGCCCAATCTGAGGATAGAATCCCCTCAGCAAGGAAATCAAGCCTCACTTGATTACCTCTCGTGCTGGGAAGCTTTTAAGACAGTGAGTAGGTTTCGATCTTGGTGGCACACTCCATGTGATTTAGGCAGTGGGTCTAGGTGAGTGCCTCAGGGGACGAAAACACTGGTGGTCCCAATGCACTGTGGCCTCAGGCATGGTTCTTCACACTGAGGGCTCATCTGTAAGATGGTGATGGTGCCTCCCTTGGAGGGCTGGATGGAAGATTCTAGGAGCTAATTTCTGGAAAGTGCTTCCAGACTGGCACAGAGGAAGTGCAAATTTTTTGAGCAAATTTTTTATTCTCCATGTTTGCTACCTTGCGGGGACCCCAGAGAACCACGTGAAGTCAGCAAGTGTTGATTGTGTGCCAGGGACTGCAGTGGGTGGCTGGCTGGGGGACACAGAATGAATAGAAGAAGCCTGTCCCTCCCCTTGAGCTTACAGTTAAGGATCTACACTTACCAGCTGGTGTGGGGGAAAATGCATCTCCTGAAGAAATTAGCAGGAGCCTCATTCTTGAAAGTGTGGTGCTGAATGACAGTATCAGTATCTCCTGGAAGCTTGTTAAAAATGCCAAATCTCAACCCCCACCCCCAGCTGCTGAATCAGAATCTGCACTTTAACAAGAACTGGAGGTAATTGGTAAAGTTTGAACAATTCTGAGCAAGAGGAGTCTGACCTCCTGGGTGACCTTGTGCTGACGTATGGACTGCAGCCTCCCCATCTGTAAAATGAATCTGTTGAACCAAATCAGTGTTTTGCAAACGTTAGCCACTTGAGGACACCCTCATAGCTTTTATCCTCCTTGTATACTATGGCAATAATTATTTTCTTGATAATGAAAAAAAAGTTTTTTTTAATGTTTATTTCTGAGAGAGAGAAACACAGAGCATAAGCAGGGAAGGGGCAGAGAGAGAGAGGGAGATACAGGCTCCAGGCTCTGAGCTGTCAGCACAGCACAGAGCCTGACGTGGGACTCGAACCCACAAACCATGAGATCAAGACCTGAGTTGAAGTCAGACACTTAACTGACTGAGCCACCCAGGTGCCCTTGATATTTTTCTTTAAATCCCCCTACTTCTACACCTAGCTTTTGTTCTAAGCAATATCTGCAAAATCACTTTTTGCTTATTCTCTCACCTATACAGGAACATAAATATATAATTATGAAACTTTAAGAATGTTGCATCTCACCACCACCCAAGTCCCCTGTTATCCCACAATTGGGTGCTCTCTGTTCTAGGAAGGCAGTGGGGCTTTCCCTGTCTCAGCATCCTAGGCCGCCTCCTCCTTTTTTTAAAATTTAATTTATTTTTTAATTTTTTTTATGTTTTTATTTATTTGAGAGACAGAGAGAGACAGAGCATGAGCAGGGGAGGAGCAGAGAGAGAGGGAGACAGAATCCGAAGCAGGCTCCAGGCTCTGAGCTGTCAGCACAGAGCCCGACAAGGGGCTCAAACCCTCGGACTGTGAGATAGTGACCTGAGCTGAAGTCGGACGCCTAACCGACTGAACCACCCAGGCGCCCCCTCCTCCTCCTTCAAAGTCCAGTTTTGGGGGTTGGTTTGCCTCTGCCCCCTCTGTGACCTCTGTTTCTCTCTCCGCAGTCCCACTGGTGCGACACATGGAGTCTCGGATCATGATCCCTTTGAAGATCTCGCCTCTCCAGTGATGCTGCTGCTGCCTCTGCCTCCTTCCCCTTCTCCCTCAGGGCAGCCAATGGACAGAGGAGATCACAGTCCTGCTGTCTTGGTTTTCTTTCGGATGTGGGATGACTCTGGGGGTTCATGCTCAGCTCAGACAAAGGGGAAGCTGAAGGATGACAGGGTTCTGAGGACTTGCAGCTCTGCCCAGGCCCTTCCCACCTTCCCTGCCTACCCCTTCCCCTGTGCTGGAAGCAGTTTTTAGTTTCTCTGATGAAAAACAGCAACCTTTTATGTATTCTCACATTGCCCCCTAAGATTCCTCATCTCAAAGCCACCAGTCCCTAGTTATCACCATGGAAGCCCTCAGTTTAGCTTTACTTACACAAAAGGTAGTGTGTCCAGTGGTTAGAGGTGGGGTGGGGAGGAAGGAAGTCAGACCAGGCCTCGTTGTCTGGAATTCCCTGGTCTCCACTGGGCCACCCACTTGCTGGATAGTCTGAGCCAAGTCCCTCTTGTCAGGGAAAAGCCTAAAACTGCCTCAAGAAGTAAAGGGGAAAACCCTAAAGTTAGCAAATTCAGCGTGAGATCCTACATATTCCATTGAGAAAGGCTGGGAAAAGGGATGGAGCTGGGAAAGATCTGGGTCACAGAATGGAACATGAACTTAGAAGGTAGAACATAGAATTCAGACCTTGGATTTGAACTGCAGAATTTGGAATACAGAATCGGGAAGATAGAACAGAGGTTACAGAAGACCACCTGGGAAGGGGTTCCCAGTACAAGACAGAAAGAGGCTCATCTCTTTCTCCCTACATAATGAGATGGAGAACTTGACTGTGTAGCTCCAGCACTGCTGTGTAGGGAGAGTCTCCTCCCCTTTTTCACTCCTGCAGGCTAAGGAGAGGGCCAGGGCCTGTATTTCCCTCACCCTGCAATTCCTTTTCTCTCTTCATATTCTATTAGCCCAACCCTCATTCTACTGGGCCACTGGGTATGTGGAGTGGGGTCAGGGACTTCAGTGATCCCCACACCTCATCAACCTCTAGGTAGCTTGATTCTGTCTCCCTTTCAGGAAAACTTATGCTGGAGTCACTGATGGAACCAATTAAAAATTTACTATAAACCGTGGTGTGTGTGTGTGTGTGTCGTGTGTGTGTGTGTGTGTGTGTTTTGTGTGTTTCATCTGCAAGGAACTTTGGCAGGTGCTAGGGGCAGGGCCATTTTCCTAGTTCCATCTGGCTGATTTACTGCCCGCCCCCCCAACTCTGTTACCTGAGCTATACTCATGGAAGAGCACTCTGCACCCTCCCAAACCCCCCACAGAGGACAAGCCCCCTTTATAACTAGGGCACTCGTGACATATGTTTCTACCCTGGATGAGGAGGTTTACACAAAGCCCTACCCTGTCCTTGAATTCATACCAGGGGGCAGAAAACACTGATACTGTCAAATGTGAGAGTTGTGACTGCCCTAGACAAACCAGGGCCTAACCGTGAGGAAGCTGCTGATGCACCCTTGGAAAAAAGTGTGGAATGGCAAGTGCCGTCCCTGGCTTTGCAGCCCTCACTGTATGGGATGTTTTGGGTGAATTAGCATGGTTAAGAATCAGGTCATGAAGGCACTATCACGAGTTTCACATCTTGGCGACTTCACACGCTTATCGTTATCTTGGATATCCAGCTGAACTCATTCACTCATAACTAGGAACAGAGCTAGCGCACAGTTGGGGGCGCTGCTACAGGCTCTGGGCAAAGAAAGTGAAAACAGGGCACTAGACTCTGCCCTTCAGCATCAGTTTCCCGGTTTTGGAGGACAGCGGGTGGTGTTGCTGACCCTTCCAACAAACACAGGTCTCAGTCAGCCTGCTTGCGCGGCCAGAGACTACTTCCGCCGGGGAGCCGGCGCGGCCAGGGCCTCAGCCTTGCTTCCGGCCTTCCCGCGCCTCGCTTCCGCAGACCGATCTTTCCTTCCGGATTTCTCTATGGTGCCTGGGAGAGCCCTCTCTCCACCGCCGGAAGTGGCTCACTGGCCTGCGTGACAGCCTTCGGGCGCCTGGTGAGGACTGAGCGGACAGGGGCTGTCAGGAGGGTGCCGGGAGGCGCTCCGGGACCGAGGTGCTGTGACTTCCCGGAGGCGTCCCAGTGCTGGAACGTCTGACCCGGAGTTCTGCGTGCTCCTCTTCGGGTCCCAGCCGCTCGCGCGCCGCACGCTCAGTCTCTTCAGGTGAAAATGTTGGCAGCAGCAGCTTCGGGCCCCACTATGCAGCCTCTAGGTAGGATTACGACGTTGTCGATGCTCATATGGTGGTGGTGATAACAACTCACATTTATTGGAGTGCTTACGTGTGCCTGGGTCTCTTTACTGTTAGCCAAGTCAGATTTCCACATTTCAGCCTTTCGCTCCCACCTTTTGGGTTTGCCCAATTTACCTTTAAGACTGTTTGCTAAGGTTTTTAATCCGAGTCCTTTCTCGCAAAGTAAATTGGTTTTAGGAGAAAATTTCGATGGTCTCCCATAACGGGACTTGCCAGTATAGAAAGTAATGATAAAAAAATAAATTAACATGAAAACAGACTAATTCTGGCTAGATTAGCTTGTCTAAGCTCTGAGACAGAATCCTTTTGCTAAAAGAAAGGAATAATGATGTTCACTAATGCTAAAGACAAATTAGGAAAAAATGAGATGTTCTCCTTGAAGCAATCGGAGTTTCAAAAAGGGAAAGAAAAGGGATTGACCTCCTTAGATCCAACATTATTTCAGATCATCCATGATGCCATTTACGTCCCACTGCTAGGTCATCTTCATCACCTTCCCCAGAGATGCCTCCTGTGTCAATGTCATCACAACAACCCTGAGGTAGGGACTGTTATTCTCATTTCCTCGAGAAACAGGCCCAGAGAACATTGAAGTGACTTGTCTCAGGACTCCTAGCCCTTTAAATAGAGTTGAGCTCCAACTCAGGGATTCTCTGATCACTCCATACTCCCATGAGCCATTGGCTCCTTCCAGTAATGCTGTGGCAGAATTTTTTAGGCTGAGGGAGATGGTGCCCACACCTCAAGGGGACTGTGGTGACTAACCCCAGGGAGGTAGCAGAGGGGAGGATGCTTGTGACCCTAGAATGCCCCACCGAAATGTTGAGGTTCTTTCTTTAAATTTAGGTCAACCAAAGAGTTGATGGCATTGCCAGCTGAGATGGTAGCCAGACATTCATTATGTTACAGAATGTGATCAAAGAGCACTGATGTGGATCAGTGGAACAACTTTAAGGCAAACTACATTGTAACCTTGGGCAGCTCATTCGAACTTTCCCGAATCAGGTGTTCTCATCTATAAAATGGTACTTATTCCACCTGAAAAGTTTGCTATAAGGATCAAATGAGTATTTATCCGTAAAGTGCTTAGATCAGTCCAAGGACCGGTGACTGGATCAATCGATATATTGGGAACAGGTGTATATGTAAGCTTGAGGAGCTTTAGTCAGTGAATGTGGATTTATGGCTCTTTAATTTTTTTTTTTTAACGTTTTGATTTGTTTTTTTGAGACACAGAGAGGCGATGAACAGCGGGGAGAGGTCAGAGGAGGACACAGAATCTGAGCAGGCTCCAGGCTCTGAGCTGTCAGCTTCAGAAGCCCGGCGCTGAGGCACTCAACTCAGGACCGACAGATCGACCGAAGTTGAGTTGGGTTCAACCGGCTCAAACCGACGAGCGCCACCAGATTATAATGCGCTTAAGGAAGGAGTGAAGATGAATGTTTTGATAGGCTGAGGACCGATTCCCCTTTTACAAATTAAACTGAGCTTTGGAAGGTTGAGTGACTTTTTTGAGTTACAGTTGTTATGGCCAGCACTAAGTTTAGACTTAAGTATTCTGACTACAGAAACTCCAATTCCCAACTCTGAAAATTGCAAAAGTTTTCTCCTTTTAACAGGTCTCCTATCTCCTCTGACTTACCAAACAACCATGTCATCAGAATCAAGCAAGAAAGCCAAAGTGTCTGACAGGGCGATGGAGCTCCATCTGAAGCGCAAGCGTAGCTTGACTTCTGACACAGAACAGGTGAGATCAGCCAGTGCTGCCATGACATGCTGAATAAGCCATGGCTCAGATCACCTGGCTGTGGGTTTGCAACAGCTGAGGGTCACAGTGATGGCTTCCAGGTGGCACTCAGCATGACCATGCCTGGAATTCCCCTGATTCTACAAAACTTAAGTATTCACATTTGGTTTAGCAGCAGCATTGAACCAACCAGCTATATCAGACATGAATAGTGCCTGAAACAGACAATGCATTCTAGTATGGTGTGTGTCTCCCAAGTTTCAGAGTCACGAAGAAGCCAGTATCTGCAGCATACCACCAGAAACTGGAGATGTGGCATTCCTGAGTCAGCTACTGAGAAAGTGCACCAGAACAACATCTCAAAATGCTTCTGTGGCCTAAGGCTCATGCTGTCTAGCAGGTTCTTCCTTTATCATTTCACTGTCTTTTAAATCTCTCAAGCTAATTTTTTCTTAAAGATTAATTATTTATCTTGAGAGAGAGGAGAGCACATGCCTCCGTGTGCTGTCTTGATGAGGGAGAGGCAGAGAGAGAGGTAGGGAGTGAAATCCCAGCAGCTTTTTTGAAGACCGTGGCTCAATCCATGAAAGATCCATGCGACCTGACGACAATCATTCCCGAGTCAATGGTCACGCAAGCGACTGATGCCACCGGGTGCTCCTGTCAAGCTAATTTGTGAACCTAATTGTTTTGATTGGTTGGTTACTTTTTTTTTTTAACTGATTAGAGAAGATAGGACTTGAATTTAAGAGAACAAGCATCTTTCTCAGATTTAGGAAATCTAGAGTAAGAAACTCATCCATTTGTGTAGGCATTAATTTTCTTTTTATGTTTGAGATGTAATTGACATATACACATTAATTTAACAGTGTATAATGATTTGAAATTGTGTATGTTGTAAAATGATCACTACAAAAGTCCCCTGCTTACGTAGTAGTTACAGTTTGTACTTTTTTTTTCTTGTG